CCTTGGACTCGTTCTGCTTCCTGATGTGGGGCATGGGCTTCCATCGGTCCAGTGCGCTGATTGAGGATGAGGCATAAATGCCTAGGTGGCCAGGCAGGTGAAGCATTTATCAGTTCTTGTTCCTCTGCGGATGTTGTATCTGCTACCTGGTTTTGGAAGGGTGCAATATTAATACGCTCAGTGAAGGATCTATCAGCCCCTCTGCCGATGCCGTCTCTGCTACCTGGTTTTGGAAGGGTGCAATAGGGTGTTCCATATATCCTATTTCGCGACCAACTTCAGACCCTATTTCGACCCCAACTTGGCTCCAACTTGGGCCATCATTTATCGGAATTTGGCCCCGGGAAATGCAATGGGCAGGTCAAATCGAGCGGGCGAAGTTGGAACACGAAGTTGGGGTCCAAGTTGGATGTCAAATCGTGGTCCGGAGCACGATTTGACATCCAACTTCGAGTTCTGAACTATTTCATGTTCCAACTTCGCGCGAAGTTGGGCACGAAGTTGGGCCCCGAGCCGGGCCCGAAACAGGATATATGAAACATCCTAATATTATTACGCTCGGTGAAGCATCTATCAGTTCCTGTTCCTCTGCCGATGTCATCGGTCCTTCCAAAATGCATTCACCTAGGTCTATTTGTCGATGAGAATGGTGCTCATAAGGCGGCTCCCTGAATATGGAGGGCACGGGCAGTCCATTATCCCTAGTTCTGGCCCTATATATCCCGTCTGGGTATGGTTCAGGCCGCACAAACGACCGAAATTGGATGAAACAAAGAAGCATGTATACCACCCCCTTGCCCTGAATGATACATGCTGCACTGATAGTATGCCTCCGGTTCTGTATATAAGCCAAATCCCCCAACGACTGTCGAGCAGCTCGCAAGTTACATATCCTTTTTAACATGCGCGGAGTAGGCATCCATTTTCTGTGTTCCCTGCGTCGTGCATTCAAATTGCCCTCCTTAGCTTCTCAGCTTTGCGGTCGTGGCTGTAATCACCACCCCGGGCCTTGCTCAGCTTCAGACCAGCTGTTTCTCGGGTGGGCCTACATTCGATTGTTCCATGTTCATTACAGCATTCTGCAATTCCATCGGCACCTCCACAGTCAGTCGAAAATATTGCTGTATAGCGGGACTTCATACTGATCGTCTTCGTCGCGTAGATCGCGCCTAACGATACAATTTCGCGCTGCTTCAACAATCCTGCTGTCGGATCTGCTCAGTGTGCGTTAGCCGCAGACCAGGGGGAGCGGATCATGACTTACGCCGCGTCATTTTCTCGCAGGCACATTTACCGCAGCGAATATGGTAACAACGGCCGGAGTCCCCAACGTTTCCAACTGCGGCTCAGCGCTGGCTACAGTGGGTGCAGTGTGCCCTCCGGTATGCTGCCGTTCTCAGATCACATTTCCCGAGCCGACTTATACACAGGGTGGTAGTGGCATGTTTAGCGGATTGACATTCAGGTTCTGGATGGATCCTAACGACGGGACGTGTGGAATACCTGAGCTCGATACGTAGTATTCCTGCAGTGAAGGATTGAAGGGATCCTGGTCATAATCCGGCTAGTTGAATTTTGAATGGAAGTCTCTCGGCGGTTAGGGGATAACAATAACTTTGTAATCCAGGAAATGCTACATAAACAGATAAGGGGATAAGGAAAGTTTGTGTTGTCTTGCAATGTCACCGAGTCGACGAGAATATGATAAAATAAAATTGGATATTTACTTCCAGAGCAGCTGGCAGAGGACGGGAAACGTCCTCGTTACCTGTAATCAAGTTAGATCTTGAACTCAAGCGCAGTGTGGTAGAAAGACACACGTTTGGGCCCAGAGGAACTTCGAGTTGGTCGAAGGGCGCCAATCCGGTTCTTTCTGGTCATGATCTTCATCGGATTGTCTCTATATCTATTCCATAGACCGCTGAAATGGAATGAGGGGGACCTGACCATCCGGCCACAGACTAAACGGGACTTGAGATTCACCCATCCCGCATGGTAACCTGACCCTTGAAAATACCTGTCAGAGCCATAAATTCAGGAGATCTGGAGGAGGTAGAATTTAGACCACTGGTGGCGAGTGTTGCACACCAGGAAAACCGAACCGCACATTCTTAACTCGCCGCAAAACGAAACCAGTCCAATCTGAACCCATTGGTGTTGCGCAACGAAGAACCATGGATAAGAAGAGACTACTGTCTAGCGGATGGGAAGCTGCAGCACTTCTCCGGAAGTTTACATTGAGTAATCGGCTGAATTTGTGGCGAATTTTGGGTGCGCCCAGATCAAAAGTGTCATAGAAGTGTCGGCCGCAAATTTGCGTACGAAAAAGAGGCAGGGTAGAGGCACCTTTACAAGCTAGTGAACGATAGGTTCCATTTCTTCTTCGCAAGTCAACCGGGCAGTGTTACAAGATCCCGGAAGGGAACGTTGAAAGCCGGTAGATCTTGTGTAAATCATTCAGTGACCGGTGGGATGGTGTTTCTAGAGAAAGCTACCAAAGAACAGAGCTACAACTCAGTTGAGGGTAAATCGAGAAACCGTCCAGACCAGCACTGGCAGGCTTTCCAATGTTGACGCAAACCAATCACAAACAGATGCGTCGAATGATTTTCAGAAATGAATGTGATGGTTGTCGTTGAGGGAAGTAAGACGTTCACTCTTGTCGCCGTCGCGCGAAGGAAGTTCAGCTAGAAACAATTCAGCAGACTCGGACTCTTTTCAAAGAAAGTCTGCCAGCACTAGGAAAGGAAATGCGAGTCGAGGATATGCGGGGCGGGACATGAAATCCTCTCCACAGACAAACGCGAATTTCCGCGTACGAAATCAGCTTTGAGACAACGGCAGTTTTTGCAACGGGAACTTGAAAGAACGAAATTGCGCTTTCGGATCTGATAGCACCGGGAAAAAATTGTTCTTGAATGTCTTTGAGTTCGTTCCCGATATACGTTGATTGCACCTCCTCAGTCTCCAAGACAGGCGCCTCAGCCAAATTCAGAAAGGTTTTTCTCCCAAGTTAAGGTGCTTTTGCAGGTTTAACAGACCCTGGGATCAATGTTTTTCACCAGCCGCGTCTTCTAAATTGCGCCCTTCAAAGTGCTTCCAACAAGGCCGCACTTTTAGCACCAAATTTTCTCTTAAGCCACAGAATTAGCGCAGATTCAGGAGGGGTTGCACTGTGTGCATGAGCGGCCCATCAATACATTAAATTATATTCTGGCTTGCGGGAAACCTGAGCAGCGCGAATATCCTTGCACTGATCCCATCACTGGCACCTTTAAACAAGCTCGGAGAGTGCACCAGAATAGATTTTCCTTACGGGAAGTCACCCAATTTTTTTTCCACCAGCAGCAATGGATGTCCTGATGTTGGTGGTCACCCGCAAAATCCGTATATTCTCATCCTTGACTCTTCTTGCTTATAACACGACACGAAATTCCGTAGAGTCGATTCTACTGTGTCGTATATATTTATGGTACCGCACAATGTAGGAAGAAGCAAGCGCTTTATTGCACTGCACCCCAATTTGAAAAGCGATCTGCATGGGAAAAGAAAGAAATTAAAAATGTATCGACAACATTCGTGAAAGTGCGAACCGAATACGATGGATGTCTGAACTCCACATCCTCCCCCACATGTACGCGTTCATGGAGAGGACCAGAGTTTTCAACAGGAAACCGTCATTGAGAGGGAACGTCTCAGGATCATTTATCCCTGATGTATCGTAGACCGTGGTCCCCCAGGAACGGGATAGCGCGCGTACCTGCGGGAATGGAGGCAAATAAGACGTGTTTAGTTGTTGTTAGAGTCATGGGTGGTTGGAGTGGGAATGCCAGATATTCGCTGGACAACATTCTTTTTATACGACGTGGAAGTGGATTTGAAATGGATTTTGCATAAGAGTTGGAAGAAAGAACCACCATATGGATGAGTACGATAAAGGTTCGTTGCCAAAATTGAACAGAATGCCGCCCACCGAACCATGCCTTTGTTTGAGAATGGTATCTTTGTGGACTGGATGCCTGTCTTCTGGAACCCCCCACCTAAACTAAAACAAACTATTTACTCAACCGGGTCAAGGTTCAGTGGGTGGAGATTCATGCATATGGCCGTAAATATTCATGTGCTGGTCGAGGTATTATTCAGCGCGTGGGAAGTCAGTAAAAGCTGAAATTTGATGATTGAGCTGCATTTTGTTTGCATGCTATCGTAGCCGGGATGTGTTCCTTTAAACGCACACCATGTCGGTAACACTGTCCAGCTTCCGAATAAAAAGATGGGAAAAAGCAATGAGGGCCTCGATGCCTAGTCACATTCGAGTTAATTGCGAGAGCGCCAAGATCGATGGACGGGGAGGATATACGGTGAGGAATAATTGAAACTGTAATGAGTACTGTAAGGAATGAACGGTTTCATGCGGGTTGAGTATTAATCATCAGAGTGAATTTGGGAAATTCAGCAGGATGAAATTACAAGAGGGGGGTTGGAAGGTTGGCCAGTGGTAGGGTACGGACCACCGCCCGATCCAATAAAAGTACAATTTCTCAAAGGCGAGAGGAAATTCGATTCCTGCTGATTCCTCTAACCGTGGCTTGCCTTCCCATGTTCTTCTCACGCCATCTTAATTATAATCATCAAAATGCAGTACGTCTAACGAGGTTCAAAATGCTAGAAGAAAGCACCGGTGGTGTATGGTACACGCGCCGCGCCTGTATCTCCAGGGCTAGGTGTTTATCGGCGAGCCGGGGTTCGAATCCCCGCCGGTGCACCAAAATTTGGGCCGCATTTTTTCTCCCGCACTCGGCACTGTCTAATGGCGGTTACTTATTTTGCGTTACTTATTTTGCGTCGCGTCCGCGCGAGTGAATCAAACAAAGAAGGTGCCGGACAGAATGCATTGCTGTTGATGCCTCCAACCGCGGCCTTCCTTCCTATATTCACCTAGATTATAACCGTCGAAATACAGCGCGTGCACGTAACGAGGTTCAAAGGGGTAGCAGGAGGCACCGGTGGTGTATGGTACACGCGCCATGCCTGTCTGAGTGGAACCACGCGTTTATCGGCGAGCCGGGGTTCGATTCCCCGCCGGTGCATACGGTGTTCATCACTTTTTTGTCCCCATATCGGACGAATGTGTACGGTGTAGTTTAGCTGATTTTTCGTCGTAATGAGCGACGAACGAGCTGGCACCATTGCAGCGTGTGTTTAGAGAGGCCAATTTTTCGTCCCGTCCGCATCAGGGGATCAAAAACAAGTGGGTTCGACAGAACGCAAGATATTTGCCAGTGGGTTATTGTACGCCTAACGAAGTCCAAAGTGGTAGCAGCAAGCACCGGTGGTATATGGTACACGCGCCGTGCCTGTAAGCGTAGCGAGGCGTTCATCGGTGAGACGGGGTTCGATTCCCCGCCGGTGCATTAGGTTTCGTGATTCTTTTTTGTCCCGATATCGAACATGTGTGAACTATCAGGGTATCTGATTGTGTCATGTAGTAGCCGGGATGGGCCAGAGGTTGTACGGGGTCGCAGGCGTACGGATAGCGGTGCCTGCCGTGATGCATCATACTGCATGATCTACCTACTGTCTAACACGACCACACACGTCCAGATAGGAGTGGCCCTAGGCCACTGCTACTGTCAACGTCCGCACCGGGGCGTTAAAAACAAGAATGTAGGCGACAAGACGTATTGATAGCCAGTGGGAGATGTCCCGCTGAACGCGTCGCCGGGGGATATTTATCCTTCGTTTACCATTTATGCTCTACATTTGGGGTCGACGGGGATTCGGGATTTGAAATGGACCGCGAGGTGATTCTGGCACACGTAGCACACCACTGGGAATACACATACTTTACGAAAATCGATTCCCGCTCGTCCATTCGTGGATTCTTCCCCCATGTTTTTCAAAAAATGCCGTGGGTCAAACGAGGTTCAAAGTGATAGGAGAAACCACCAGTGGTGTACGGTACACCCGCCGTCGCTGTGTCGGGCTAGCAGTGCGATTATCGGCGAGACGGGGTTCGATTCCCCGCTGGTGCATTAAAGTGTGGGGCGTCCGTTTGTGTTTTTGTCCCGCACGCGGCACTGGTGTATAGTCTGCCTGATTTCTGTGAGGGGGTTGTGGGAGGCCTCTCAGAAAAAGGCCGAGAGAACGGATCGATGGTTGCCGGCGGGCTGAGCGCTTCTTCGAGGGATATTTATTCCTGGTTTAACTCCCTCGAGGCCTCGCTCTACACCATTCAACTCTCCCCGAGCTATCCACCATTCTGATCCACCGCCATTTGGGATTCTCATTCGGAACTGATCTTTATTCATCTCCCCTATGTATTGGTGCTGATATTTATTCAGCCTGAGGAGACTCCAAAAAAGAGAGAAGAGACGGTTGACAGGAAGACGTGTGGCCCTGCGACCTGCGACCAAAATTCCTGCGCGTGAATCCAGTATCCGCGAGTATATATATATATATATATGCTTGGAATCCGCGCAGACCCGGATTTAATGAACCCCGGGATCGTGCGTCCGGGTTCAACTTCTCAGCCCCTTTCTCGGGCACATTTCGGCCGACGATCGGATTCGGGAGCTAGATCCGAAGTCAAGCCGCGATTTGCGACTGTTATGTCAACGCGGCATGTGAGCATCCTTGAAGCCACACTCGTCTTCACGGTCCCGCCTTCGAGAATGCAAGGCTTTGCGCACGATACGATTGAAATCGATAGCTGGATGGGCGGATGGCTGCAGGCATTTCTTCACCTGGGCCCAGCCACGTCCCGCTGCGCCCGATAGATCTCGCGTTCCAGCGTCATCGCCGGGAATCTGCGCCCGCTCCTCTAGTTCCGCCCCCAAATCACCGCAGCTGCGCCCGTATCGATGGACGCGCGGAGGCGCATCTCCATACTCCCGCCTCCATCTCCATTTTCCCATCTTCTCCATCCGCCCGCCGCCTCCACCTGCACTTCACCGACCGCCGCAGATCAAGCTCTGTGTGCCCGTTCCACCACGCGGCTCTATCTTCGCCCTGCTCGCTGCGCCGGAGCCGACGCGCGCACATGGCTGCGCATCTACGGCGGCGCAGACGTGAAGCTGGAGTACGCGGCGCGTGGCGGATGCGCGCGCCGTGCCCGAGGTCGCGGGAGGGAGACTATACTGTGGAGAGCGAGACTGCGCTGCGGGGCGGGAGGAATATGCGTGCGTGCTACTGGCATGAGAAGAATGCACTCGGGGCTGGGGCAGGAGGAGTTGGGACGGATCGGCTGCCCGCGCGTCATCTGCCCCGCAGTCCGGCATTCACTCCAATTCATTCCATAAACGCCCGCGCGTCCCTCTCACTGAGTCACTCTCAGCTCGTCTCGACGGATTCCCGCGGCTTGCTCGCCTACACTTGCACCCGCTGCATTGCCGCTCCTCCGTTCCTCCATCTGTGGGTCCCGATGGCTACGCCTGCGCCTCCGTTTGCCCGCGTAGTGCGCAATCGATGGATAAACATATCCGCATCTGGCGCCGCGATCTCGCGGCCCCGGAGGCGGGACCCGTGCATATTATGGACCGCCATCGATCTACATTCCATAAAGCCTTTTCCGTAGCTTCGAATACCCATGATATTTGTCATGTCTATGGTGAACGGAAAATGCTCCTGCAATCCTCATGAGGCTTTCAAATCCACCTTCGAGTCCAGCTGGAACGGATGGGAAATCGCCCATTTAGGCAACTCATCTTCCCGTTTTGTACTAATTGCTGTGCATGGCTGTATCGATCACATAACGGTGACGCGGCTTCTCTGACAGCGCATCGCCTCGATTAAAATCAATGGTCAAATTTTGCTCCCTCGCTTCAGACTCAGACTCTCTCCTCCGCACATAGCGGCCGCCGGCTGCGGGTGAGTTGCAAAATAAACCCTTATCGCCTCCCGCTGACATGATATCGCAGTTGGAACGGGACGGCCCGGGCGGGCGGGCGGGGATGAGGGGTGGGGCAGGCTTGCCAAAATCCTGTTGGCCGATTTTTCCCGGGCATGTTACCGTAGATCTCGAGCTCAGCTACTTCGAAAGTCAAATATTTCTTTGAGCAAATGTAAATATCTCGTTCCAAGATTTTGAAACGTGAGCATAAGCCGGACTTCTAGATAAACTTGCAAAGTTTTCGACTCGGCCATTCAGATTGTCGACGAATATCTTGCAGAACTTTTAGAATATCTCAGGTCCGGATATTCGACACTTCACCATATCCATAATATCCAGTGGGTGACTTCCCGTAAGCATAAAATAGTATCTGAGCTTGTTTGAGAGTGCCAACGATGGGATCAATCTGCGGAAAACTTGTGTCGTGGATTAACTTCTTGTGTTCCCATAAGAAAATAATAAAAAATCCAGACTCGTGTTTCTCCCTGTGCGAGGGCCAGAATGCAACCCTGACGTCGGGCATGCTGGTGCTCTGGGAGCAGGCGGCCAATTTGGAAGTTTGCGCGTCAAGTTGAGGGCAAGATCACCCACCACCCACCTAATGCGGTTTATTCCGTTTAATAAAATCTATTGTGGGGGTAGGTACCCCCCCTACAGATTTGAATAGATAGGAATGGATTCATATTAAATCTTGTACGTTTTCACGTCCCAAAATTGATGGGGTCCCAACAGCTGCCTCGGCAAAGCACTTAGATATTCCCCAGCATTTATCTATGCTTATGGGAAGTCACCCAGTGGCGACCTACAGGGATATCCCAGGCCGAGATTAAGTCGATATTTTTCAAGATCCGCACTCCGGATTATCATGGGCGGTTTGACGCATCTCAAGTATATCTCACGTTTGGATTTGATCAACGATCAAGTCGAGATTTCAAACCTTTTGTGATAGCTAGAGTATGTCCCGTCAAGATATTGTTCCAAAAACGCAGTGACTGGGACGCTTGGATTGGCCCATAATATTCGAATACCGGCATGGTACCCGGAGCATATGAGTGAAAAGATGGCTCGTCCTGGGGGGAGAATATACCAGCCATTATCGTCGTCCAGGACAAGGAGTGGCAAAGAACAAACACCTGATTTCGTCGCGTCGAATTTTGTCGTGTGGACCGCGGGTGAAATTTAGCAGTAAACAGCCTTTTAAGGAAGCCGAAATGGCTGCTGTACGTATGTACGCTAAGTAGATAAAAAGGGACGGGAGACATGTACATATGGGTAGGAGACCAGAAATTATTACAGGCGCTGACGAGACAGAGTGAGAGACGGTAACAGCATTACAGTAAAGGACCTTACCTGGCGAGACAGAGTGAGAAACTTGGCGAGGACACCAAGAATCCGTCTCGCCAGGCTAAATAGAAATATGGATTTAGGCATTAGCATTTTGACCTTACTTCCGGCCAAGGAGCGAAGGTCAAAGATGTTTAGATTAATGGGACCTGAGGCCGTAGCACTTTGCCCTTACTTTCGGCCGCTAGGGGCAAAGGTCAGAGATGTCCAGGTGAAACAATCTGCATAGGACAAACCATTTACGACCCTGAGGTAGGTTGTCCTGCGTCTCATTTCCGACCTGTGAGGTGGAGACGTGGGGTAAGATTTGGGTGCGGACAATGCACGCCTCCGAAATTAGACTTGAGTAAATACTATTTTAAACCCGATTAACTACCTGCAGGATGCAGCCAAACAAAACAACATACGATTACATAATGACAGCGACCGCTCAGAGTCACAAACCATGTCTCATCCTACCACCATGTTGACCGCCGACGAGTTTATGGCGCGAGTGGGCAGCTTGCCCTACTTGAAACGCCATGGCTTCGCTACAAGACTCGCCCTCGAGAACGACCCGCAGCTCCCAAAACTCATCGAACAGCTCCTCGCCACAACGGCGCTTCCCTCCAGAATCCCGTATCCCGCTGTTCCGGGCGATGCTGACGCCCCAAAGTTCATCGACCTGCAGTTTCCGCAGACAACCGCATCAAAATCCTTTGGCCAGCGCGAGCTGGGGTTGGCCATGGCTATTGCACTCGGGCGACCTGCTCTTCCCATTCTCATCGAAGCTCTGCTTCACCCTTCTACTGCAGGCAAGGCCAAAGTCATCGACGCTTGCGTCAAGTACGCCCCAGACGAACAACTCCTCGACGT